GTTTGACTTTTTTTTTTTTATGAGGTTCAATTTGGCTTCTAATCATTTAATTAATACATTTTTTTTTCATTTATACCCTTATGTTTCTCTCATTTTTTTTCTACTCATTCTCGCTTAATCTCTCCATAATTTCAGTGTTCTAGGAAAATAATTTACATTTTTTTAACATATTTATTGTCTTTAATTTATCAATTTTAACCAAATTTTTGAGTTGCGTAATTTACTTACTTGATGCTTATATTTTGAACTAGAGGAAGTACAGCTAAGTTCATAGTAACATCATCATGAAAATTCTCCAAGGACTTCTAATTTTCAATGAAGTTATAAACTGGTTGATCCACAATTTGGTGAAATTCCAGAAATAATGTTTTGGGTTGGCTCAAAATTGAGACTAAATTGCCCATGATAAAAATATACCTTCAGCAACGTAGTGTGAGGATTCTTAAGTCTCAATCTCTTTCGTGTTGTGTTTCTAGCTTGTGACGTTGCGGCTGAGATAGTTTCTCCACGCCAGCGAGAATCTCGAGACGCAACCTGATCTTCTGCAATACTAATGAAGGAATATAATATAACAACTTACTTGTAGTATGATGAAGGAATTTAAGCAAGGGCTAAGGATTTTTTTTTCCTAACTAATTAGTAACAAAAATGTAGCAAGGAATCCAGTTAATCATTCATTTATGTTTGGTAGAAGAGAATTGAAAGGGAGGGGGATACGAAAAAACTTTAATGAGATCGATTTAAAAAATTGAAGAAGTAAAATTAAAAGCTTTTAATTATTTTTTTCTTATTCTTTTATCTTATACTTATATCTTTATTAAAATTTTATAACATCATTTCTTCAATTTTTTAAATTGAGCTTACTAAAATCTCCTCTCTTTTTCTTCTCATATTACCTCAGAGCAAACATGAGGTAAATGAGGTTTGGCCGTCAATAATCAAGTTTAAAAAATAATAGCATGTTGGGAATTATTGTTCCTATTAATATCATCAATTTCACAATAAAGGCATAGATACTGCGGAATAAAATCGATAATAAATTTTTAATAAGATTATCAATAACTCTGCAGTGTTTTAATGGAAGTTGTTCTCAGTTCAACTAATGAAAATTATTATTAAACCTAAAAATATTCATAAATGACTACAAATACTATATATTTCATCCAAAATATATAGCACGCCATGTGTTTTTGCAATATTAGTGCTAGCAGTTTCACTCAATCAATTCAATCACCACCAATACATGCAATAACATTTACAAGAACTCATACTACTTATAAGCAGCACGCACACTAAACCATAATCTGGCTTAACTTGTTAGTGCTTATTTTCCATTTTTTTGTTTTGCCCTTAATTTCAAATTAAAGCTAATTAAATTACTTATTCACATTAGTAGGTTTATATTTGCAGACGTAATACACCACCGGTAAAGCCAAAAAAACAAAACTATGGTAACGACAAAACAAAAACATCGTAAAAGAAAGACGACTGTTACTTGGTTCTCGACATCCAACGCTGCTTCAGAATCGATAAGAGATTGAGCTTCCAAGGATTCAACGATGGTGCCCATGTCCGATCTCAACATCTACAGATCAATAATTTTGAGCCAATAACTCCACGTGCTTCGATTCTAATACTGAAGGAATTGATGAGTCAACCTTTTCTCCACTTGACGAGTAGAATAATGGCATGTCAACTCAATAATTTTGAGCAAACGTGTCCGTCTTTCTAAAGAAATAAACTTCTACGTGACTTTAGAGCACGCCTAGCATAATATAATGGTATATATACTACAAAAAATTTGACTTTCAGCGGCGACAAGTCGCGGCTAAAAAGCTTCAGCGGCGACATTTTGTCGCCACTAGGTGGTTGCCGTAGCGGCTGTGGCTGAAACTTATCAGCGGCGACATAAAAAGTCGCCGCTGAAAGCTGATGAGTTTGCCACTCGGATACGTCGCCACTGAAACATGAGAATCAGCGGCGACATTAGCACATTAGTTCACTGCTTTCATGCAAAACATTAGTCGCCGCTAAATCAAGCTTCAGTGGCGACAAAAATGTCACCACTAAAGCTTGCTTTTGCAGCGACATTCAAGCTTCAGCGGCGACATTAGTCGTCACTGATTGTCATTTTAATTATTTTTATAATATATTAATTATGCAAAAAATTTTATTTATATTCTTGATAAATATTATCAAAAGGTTTAATAAAAATAAAGTAATTAACACACAAATATAGTATATTAAATAATAAGATTTATAACCATCAAAGTGTTTTTTATGTTTTTAACTAAAAAAAAATTGTTCAATTAAAAGATACATTACATAATACAAAAGAAAAATTACATAGAGGGATCAATACTAGGGACGCTAGAAGTAAGGGTACTATAGGAGCATTTAACTGCATCTTTTGCATGAAAGCAGTGAACTGAGCTTGTATTCTTGTTCCATCAATTGCTCCATCCTTTGTTCAAGTTGTGTACGCTCTGCTTCCATCTTTGCTCGCTCTACAGCACGTTATGCTTCCATCTTTTCTCGCTCTGCTACACGTTCTGCTTCCATCCTCTCTCTAAGAATAAATATTAAAGTGCAAGAAATAAATAGAAATGAATAAGGTTGAGTTGACCAAGAAAAGAAAATTATATATGATATATATATGTATCTTACTTCTAAAAAGCTGATTCTCTAAGCTGTCTTTGGACAGATATTCGTAGATCAGAAAGCCTGTGTTATTCTTCACAGCAATATCCAATCAGTTTCACGAGGTGTGAGTGTCTTAGTTGGCCCAAAAAACAGCTTCTATCTGCAATTTGATTTTTGACAGAAAATAGATAAATAATTGAGCCATACAACACATAGAGATAGAGACAGAGACAGAGACAGAAATAGAAGAAGTTAGCATGTTGTGGGAGGAAGCTGCAGTTTAATTACTAAGCATTACCCACATCAGTAACTCCAAGAAACTAAGCAACGACCAATATTATAATTTAATAATAGACCTTTGACCTTGATAGACAACCTTAAGTTCCTCAGCAGCTTTGTTGGATCCAGTAGTTAAGTATATATATCCTCGTTTTAAGCACTGGATTATACATTTAGAATCTCTGTGTCCTAACACTTTGGTAGATAATTTTTAGCATGAATTTTATGTTGAACTTTATTAAACCACATAAAAGGATATGTGAAACTTTGGTATCACCAAAACAAAAACCAATGAGAGAGAATCCAAACTTAAACGAGTATATAAGCCAAACTAACAAAGCATCACAGATTCAACGCAAACACAAGGTGAAGATGATAAACTGTTAACTTATAAGTGACGAGAGCTTTACTACTCGCCCTAGCTAGTGATCCTTTTTGCTTGCACTATTAAGAGATCTCATAATAATCAAACGTACAAGCGAAGTCTTATTATCTTCTGTTGTAATATCCCCCTCCAAAACAGTTTTCTGCAAGGTACAAAGCTGCCTAACTATTTGTTTCTTGCAGGTTGTCAAATTGGAATGGATGAAGATCATTATATATATCATAATAAAAAGCATCTATAAACAACAGTACTCAAGTTTTGCTAATCACTTATGATAATTTAAAATTTCCTAGTCTTCTCCCGAGTAATCAAGTTTCCCATCTTGAACAGCAAAAGCAATCCGATTGGAAACCAAACATAAAACAATATACTAGTCTCTATATATATGTGTGTGGATATATAATATAATACTTCTCATGCAGGTTTTGCTAATCCTACAAGGTCCAAATATACAACTTTTTGTTAACATGCATATAATTAATGTAACAGTATCAATAAACTTCCAATTTACTCCATCAATAATTAACACTTTCATCACAATTTTATTGAAAACTGTAAAATGATGCATAAAAAAGATTTCAACAGTTAACTTATTAGGGAGGTAACTGTAAAACCCAATAATAAAATGTAACAAAAAAAAAAACATTCTTGTCCTGAACCAACTAACCTAACTTCATGCATGATTATGTTGAGGGCTCAAACATTCTTGGAAAGAGTCTCCACAAATAGACCCATAAAACCATTCTCATTAGTTAACATCACCATGAAATGTGAATACGACTCATGATCTCACGACTTCTACTCAGCTTACGTATATGTACCTTTTAAATTAAAAGCTAATCTCAATAATTCTAAATAACAGAAATGAAATGTGGAGAGAGGAAAACAAGAACAAATAAAGGATTCAAATCCGATCCGTACCCTCCCCTCTATGCTGAAATCTCAAACCCAATTTATGAAGAGCATATGGTCTCCAAACTATTGTAGGTTTCACCGTTTCAGATTCACATCAACTTTGTTCAGAAAATTATAGCCAGAATTAGAATATAGTTATATTAAAAATGATAGATAAATAAAAGCAATTAAACAATTAAACCCCTTTCCTGCTCCTCTTCCGATAAGACTGAGGCTTGGCGGGAGGTTCTTCCCCTTGGGATTTTTGTTTCAGCTCTAAATTCTCGCCACTTTCGCTCTACAGTGCAAAACAAGTTATAATCAAGAACAAGAATTTCGTTGTTGAAAAAGAAAAGAAAAGAAAAGGATCGTCTTACCTTGCACTGGACTGAGCAGAACTTACTCTCTCTTTGGAATTCTCTTCCACAAGTCTTGCATGTGTAGCAAGATTTATTACTTTGAGACTTGGTTTGTTGACATGATCTTCTGTTGATGAAAACTACTTGTTTATGATTAATAATGAAAGGATGTATGTCTGAGATATCAAGTAACTTGGACACCTGATTTGCATGCAAACAGTTCTCATGCGAAGCCTTGTGAACCTGGAAAATACAAGTACACATAATAATTATTAACTAACACGGTAACCTTGAAAGGGAGAGTATATATGTACAAATAAAATAATTACGGAGACACCCACGGGAAGTACTATATGGTTTTCATGTAGGTGATTATTGGTTGCTTTAGGGCAGAATTTGCAGTATAATTGCAAGTAGGTAACACAAAAACTGGGGAAGAATTTGTTGGTTTGATTGCAGCCAGAAGAATGTTGCAATGGATCTTTGTTCTTGCAAGCCTCCAACAACGATTTCACCCAACGAGGATCCACTCGCTTCTCGCAACCTTCTGTGTTCAGCTGTGAAATTTAATGCCAGAGAAAAAAAAAAAGGGATCTCAAAATACAGAACAAGAAAGGGGGAAAAAAATACAGCACTACAAGATTTCAAGCGAAGAAGAAGATCAGCGCACTTACATGGATGACAGCAAGAAAGAACGCTGGAAGTGATGGACTAAGCACAGATGGACGCTGGAATAAGTTAGATGCTTGAAACTTCTCTTCGTGCGCGGTGCTGGTCTAGTGAGAGCGAGGGAAAAGTAAACTTTCAGAAAATTAGGGCGGGTTAAATTGTTTTGGGTTTCAAAATAAGAAACTTTAGATATAAAAACAATGCGCCAGCCTTGCCAATAACACATGTAGCCTCAGTGGTAGGGGGAGTGTTAGCTATTATAATTACCAGGTCCCCTGTTTGAACCAGCCAGGTAACATTAAATTTTTTTTAACCTTATTTTTTTAAACCTTTTTGAGCCAAAATTAATGTGTAAAAAATGGGTATTTGTCAGACTCGAACACAGGACCTCTACACTGGAATGAACAAGCGTGGCCAGCCAGGAATTTAATTGAAGCCATTGGGCAATAGAAAATATATATATAATATGCAACCGTATATGTTTTACAAAATTTAATTAATCACATTTTAAATTAAAAATATAAATAGTAATAATATTTAATTAACTATATACATGATTTTATTATCTATATCTCTTACACATTTTTAATTAATTATATTATCTCCTTCAATAATTTTATTTCTCAATCCTCTCATACATATGTTCATCATCAAATATTATTATGTCAATTAAGTATGCTCACACTAATTTAATTATAATAATCTCTCACATATATTAAATTATGTTATCTCTTTCAATTATAATATCCTTCTCTCTCTCACGCATACAGACTATCTCTCTTCCAATAATATTTACATCTATCTCTCACCTCTCACACACACTCTATACTTCATTACTTATCCCATCACTCAAACTTGCATACTTTTTCATGCATGCCTCCATCTCATTTCTCTCCCATGCATAATGTTTTTCTATTCCATCTTTCAAACATTTGGATATGGGATATGTGTGTTAAACACACACTCCAAACTTTCTTCCTCTCCCTTTCTCTCTCAAACAACATATTATCTTTCTTTTAGTCTCTCTCTAACACAAAAATACATAAAAAACATTAATTATCAAAGTTACTTAATTATATAAATAAAAGATTATAACATAAAATTTTTACAAAAAAAATGATAAAAAAATGTGAAAGAGCTTTCAGCGGCGACAAGAAGCGTCGCCGCTGAAAGAAGATTCAACGGCAACAAATGTCGCTGCTGAAAGCGAGCTTCAGTGGCGATAGGAAGAGTGGTCGCTGAAAGTCTAGATTTTTGTAGTGATACATATAAGAAATTATTACCAGGAGATTCACATTGTTCACTGAACTTACATGGAAAATACATCATGGCTTGATGAAGCATCGATGAAGCAACGACTTCCCCAGTTTCCACTTTAATAAATCCAAACGCGGTGTTGACTTTGATTCTAAAGGCCATTATTCTATATTGTACTTGATTGATTAGGTGGAGGAAATGGCCTGACATTTTATCTTATCATGTCCGGGCTAGATTGGATTAGAGAGATTCGAAAGCTGTTTGCAGAAAAATAGCATATTGTTGAGGTTTTTCTGCTCAGAAGCAAGCTATGGAAGACGCTATTGATGAGTACGTGAGAGATGAAGATTTGAAAGACTTCAAAAGCAAGATGGAGAATCTGAGTTTACCTCTGAAGGAGTAATAATCTTCTTCCATTTTAATTTCTGCTTCGTTACTAACGTTTATCTACTTGACTTTTTGAGTTTTCTGTTAATCTATTCTCGCCAAATCAGCATGCGTGAGGTACGTACGTAGCTAACTAGATTAGCCAATTTATGGATATATGTTAACGGGGATTTGTCTTTTCTCTCTCTTTGATCGTCTCTTCTTCTTCCATGCCATCTTATTAGAAATTGACCAAATTTTAATGGTTTGAATCATCGCATATGATACTTAAGGGGGCTTTTTTTACTATTAATTTCGTTCTTTTTTCTCCTGGGTAAGGTTAATTGTCGATCTCTGGGGACTTAGTTCCTAATTTTCTCAGAAAAATCTAGAGAGAATGAATCTACTTTTGAACTTGATTTTCCCAGAAAAATCTAGAGACAATGAAACAGCATGCGTTTAATTCATGTTAGACCGACTTTTGGTGCTCATGCAATTTCTTCGTCTCTTTTCATTTGGAGTTTGAAGTCTACATAGATACATCCTAATTAAAATGTCAATTTGTGAAACAATTAACCAAGTCATATTGATAAAAGAATCGGTTACAATTAGTGACAAATAATAAATATGAAAAATAATGTAATACTGTTTTTCAAAAATATCCTTTTTTTTTTTTAAGGGAGTATGAGAAAGAGAATTTATCATTCATCGACAATTTACCTTGCTAATAAATGCAGACATTAGTGTGAATAATTAAATGGGGCAAAAAATGGGAAATCAACAACAACAAAAATTGGAGACAACCTTTAACTGTTTCCTCTAAATAGGAATAAGCCTTATCCAAATATTGTCTCTTATAATAAAAAGCAACACAAGGAGCATATAATTGCTTTCAACTTTCTGAATACGTCCTTAATTTATTTTAGTAATTATCTTAAAATATCCTTCAAAAAGTGACACGTGGCCAGTTTTTTTTTTACTTTGGTTTAATGAAATAGGACATTGAAGTCGTCATGAAGCGGCCGTCACTAATTTTCAAAGAAAGCAATGATGTCTTCATCAACTTAAGAGGCATTGAAACGCAAAGAACCATCCCAGGACTTCGTCACGAAGGACTTCTTTACTATCATCTAAAACAACTGAATGTAACTGCAATTTGGGACAAACTCTTCAATAAAGCAATGGAATCATCCACAGTAGCAATGGAGCAATCCAAGATTATTTCAGTCTTCATATCTCATCTATGTCATTCACATATAAGTCCGGGGTAATCCAAACTCTTTTTATCTCTCAATTTCCTTCTTATTATTCCATGTTTAGATGTTGCACGATGTGAATGTATTCCCTCAGATCTTTAATATAAAAGCTAGTTTGACATTCAATTTAATCCGAAATATAAGACTTGAATCTACATTGCCTTTCATATTTATCTATTTTTTTTCCAAAATAATCTTTGTAGTAGTTGCACATGTTAAAAATTCAATCAAATAGTAGTTTTAGTTAATACATATTATTAGTAAGAATATTTTAATAAAGATAACACTTATTTTTTTACAAATAATTAACTAACTTAACAAATTTTCTTGATCTACTCAAACTAATCACGTAGCACGTAGCTCTTATATTAAGGAAAGGTGGAATAATAATACTTATGTTCCAAACACAATTTAATTTCATAAGCATCTTCTAGTAATTTGTAACTACTACCTACGCTGCGCTCCTTAATTTAAGAGTTAATTAGGAATTGTATTCAGTCCCAAATATTAAATATCAATACACTTTTTCTCTCAAATTTACATCATTCTCTAAAATATCCTTATTGATTATACATATAATAAGGTTCTATCCAAGAATAGTCATGATTAAAAAGATACTTTAGGAAATTCAACTCATATTTATTATAAATAACTAACTTAATAAACTTTTTTAATCTATCTAAATTAGTTAAATAGTTATTATATTAAATACTCGAGGCAATAAGCTTCATGATTCAAGTAGCCCAACGTGATGCCAGCACAAGCACAACAAAGGCTCATAAAATGTGAAGATGCTTAAATTTTCTCCACAAACTAAACCTTGGTTTAAAATTATGCACTTGCAGCCACGATTATGTAAAAGATAGACGAGAAAAGGCAGGCTACCATCATATGGGCGAATCATTACTACCAGGGAATAGGGAAAAGGTAAGCCACCTTCTTCGTTTTGTCCTGCGTCTTTGGACGTTTGACTAGTTCAGCAATATTTTCAATAGTTTTTCCATTTTTGTTGTTACTTTCCTTTACAGTTTGATTTTTCTGATTGATGTTAATATCTAATCTTTGTTGACTCTATTCTTGATTTTCCTCTCCGAAATCAAAATCATGATAATGATTTTTTTTTTGGGTATATAATAAATACTATATTATATTCTTAATACAAGACCTAGTTGAATAACTTCAGGATATTAAGGAAGTTATGAAATTACTTAATTATAGCCTATATTATATAATCTCTCTAAAAATTTATTTGTAACATTAAATTATACATCAATTTATAAATAAGGTAAATTAGTTAGGAAAAAAACGATGCATATAAATATTTTGAAAGTAATTTAGTAACTTGCTTGATTTCTCCAAATTAATCAATTAAGTATTACACTACCAAAAAAACATGTATTTTGTAGCGGTTAAAATAAGACATTTCTAGTTGTTTTAACCGCAACAAATAACATTTGTAGCGGTTACAAAAACCACTAGAAAATCAAGTGTAAGAAACAATTTCTGGCGGTTATGGCAACCGCTACACAGTATGGTCAAAACGCCAGAAAATTTCTAGCAGTTAATTAACCGCTAGAAAAATCTAGTAGTAGGAGACGAAATTTTTAGCGGATAGAAACCGCTCGAAAAAGCAAAAAAATTTGTAGCAGTTATATAACCGCTACAAAGTTCTGAACGAAATCAAATTTTGCCGGGAAATTAAATTTTTGAATTGGAGCCAAAACAATTCTAACAGTTTGAACCGTTAGAAATTTGGCGCAAAATTTAAATTTCACGAAATTTGTCCCGCTGTTTTTTTATTTCTAGTAGTTTTGAACTGCTAGAAATGTTTTTCCAGGAACAAAAAAAATTTGTGGTGTTTGATTATTAAAAAAATATAATATTATAAATTTAAAAACCATTAAATAGATTATATTGGAAAATTTTTGTTAATTTGTATAATTAGTTATGTATTACTTTTTATATATTTGAATTTTTTAATAAACAATATGTAATTAAATTATGAGTGTGTCAAAAGAAGTGAATTTAATTTAATAAGATAATTGAATTGAAGATTTAATAAGATAGTTGAATTGAAGATGAGATAGTTTGTAATATTGAACCTAAACTGTTATGTTGAGAAGTATTTGAATCAATTGAGGAGGACATGACAAGTGTGAAGAAGAAAAATCTGAAAGAAAAAGAGAAATAAATATGTTAGTAAATTATAAGTAAAGACAAATAAAAGATATAAGGACTTATAAAATAAAATTCACTTACCATATAGTGAAGAGAAAAAACCACCATATGAGAGAGTAAGAAAAAAAGAGAGAATTATGAGGAAGAATAGGAGAGGAAAGAAAAGAGATGGGGTAAATAAATATAGAGGTGATATGATATTTATAGAGATCAACGACATATTTGTAGCGGTTTTTTTGTAGCGTTTTGGTGCATTTTGTAGCTATTTATCCATTTTCTAGCGTATAAGTAATCGCTAGTATTTGTAGCGGTTACCTAACCAAAAATTATAATTTTTTTAAAAATTATAATTTTTTTTAAAATTATAATTTTTTATTTTTCAAAAAACTAAACCAATTTTAATTTATACATATGTATTTATGGAAGGAAAAATTTTTTTAATAATAAAAATTTTTGATGCTACTATTCTTCATCATCATCTGGCCTGAAAGGACATATTTAAAAAAATTATCTTAGAATTATAATGTATTTAGAAGAAATTAGTAATTAGTAGTTAATTATTTAAATAATTTAAGAAAAGACGTATACCTTATAATTGGCAAATTATCATCTCCTTGAGGAAAGAAGTCTTCAAAATTCGGGGGTTGGAAGGGTTCGCTGTCGTAAATAATGTCACCATCACCCATATCATAAAGATCTCGTGTCTTGAGGTGAACGACCATATTCTAGTCTTTATGTTTCTCCTCCTCAACATAGTAAACCTAGTATGTCTTGGAAGCAAGGATATATGGCTCATCATCTTCAGATGCCCCCGTATAAATAAGTCTAGAGAAATTAACTAAGGTGATGCCCAAGTGGTCAGTAGTAAGTCCCCGTGAAGTTATCGTATTTGCCCAGGAACACTTGAACAGTGTCACGGTGAAAAGCTAGTAACTCAACTCAATAATATCAATTAGCTTTCCATAGTAAGTGACGCCTCCAAAACGCATATCGCCATCACTGCTGCTAGCATAACATCTCTTCCCGAATGTCCCGCAAACTCTAGAGTTTTGTGTGAACAATCCCTAATCACGTCCAACTGTACAGAACTTGAAACCGTTGACATTATACGCGGTAAACCTTTGTGCATAGTCTAACAGACCGAGGGAAAGTGCTTTAAATTCATCTGTGTATGGGCTGCTGTCATTATGTATTCGATGTGTAAACCAACTAGAAAACTCTTTATTGGCTCTTTTATCAATGTCAGCAGAACGCGCACGCCCCTGTAGCTAACGCCCAAGGTAACTTCTAAACTCACTACAGTAAAGTGTAATTTGTTAGAAGAGTCAGTGAGAAACAAATATAAAGTATAAAAGCTAGTGAGCTTATATGATATACTTACTGCATGAAGGGTTCAACTTGGCTACAATTTATCAAAACGTGTCTGTGTGCCTGGAATTTCTCTATAGGAGTGAGTCTGAAGAATTCATATCCTCCAACTAGTTTCCCGACAGGAGGAAATAAAGTTGACGTGGAACGACCAGGAGGAGAATCATCTATGCGACGCAGGCGGTTAAAAGATGTCTCCATGTCGTCAAAGTACCTTGAACAGAAACCTCATCTCTGGAATAACCTTCTGCTATTGACCTCTCAAGCCACGCCTTATTCCTAACATATGATTTTAATTTTCTCAAGTACCTGCAAGTTAATATTGCATTAATAATTGTGAGCAAATGAAACAACAATCTGAAATTTAAAGAGGCAAGGATAAAAGATAATCTAGTACCTCTCTATAGGGTACATCCATCGACAGTGAACTAGGCCAGCAACCTTTGCTTCTCGAACAAGGTGGACAGTCAAATGAACCATAATAGTAAAGAATGATGGAGGAAATATCATCTCCAAGTGACAAAGTGTAAGAATAATTTTATTTTGCAGCTAATCAAGCTTTTCCACTATCAAGACCTTCGCACACAACTTCTTGAAAAATGAACACAATTCCACCAAAACCACTGATACATCATAAGGAAGTGTGTCTTTCAAGGCCAATGGAAGTAACTGTTGCATAAGAACATAGGAGTCATGACTTTTTAACCCAGTAACCTTTCGAGCCTACAGATCGATACACCTTTAGATGTTGCTAGAATATCTATCTAATACTTTTATGTTCTTCAGCGTCGAGAGGAAGATATTCTTGTTCTGCTTCGTCAAGGTGAATTTAGCTGGTTGAAACTTATCGTTTTCATCAGGCCAAGCCTCTTCACGAATTCCCTAGGCCTGTAAATCTTTTCTAGCTGCAAGATGGTCTTTGTACTTTCCAGCTTCGTTGAGCAATGTATATAGCACATTATCGCACACATTTTTTTCAATGTGCATACTATCCAAACTATGTCGTAGCAAATTAGATTCCCAATAAAGAAGAGTGAAAAATATGCTTCTCTTCCGCCATTGCATAGGTTGCGTATCAGATGTCCCACGAGATCGTCGTCCCAATCATTCGGGATCCACACTCTTACCAAACTCGACATTAACATCTTCTAACTGCCACAAAATATCCACACCAGACAAAGTAACAGGAGGATCTCTCTTCTCCTGTTTCCCATCAAAGCAAATCCGTTGCAATCTAAGTCAGTACTTGGAATTGAGGAACCGTCGATGTCCTATGAAGTACCACTTGCGACTATGTGGAAGGAGACATGGCACGGAATCAAAATTACACTCAGGACAAGCCAACCCAGTATGCACGTTCCAGCCGGACAAAGTTCCTAAAACGGGAAAATCACTTATTGTCCACATCAAGGCTGCACGGAGATTGAATAGTTGCTTTTCATATGAGTCATATGCCTCAACACCATTCGTCCACAGGTCGATCAATTCGTGTATCAACGGTTACAAGTATACGTCTATATCATTTCTTGGTACTTTCTTGCCAGGCATGATCATGGAAAGCAAAACGGAGCTCTGCTTCATGCAAATCCAAGCTGGTAGATTGTATGGAATTAACACCATCGGCCAGATACTGTAACTTGTGCTCATGTTTCTGAAGGGATTAAAACCATCGATTGCCAACACAAGACGTACATTTTTAGGATCACTGGCAAAGTTTGAAAATTTCGCATCAAATGTTTTTCACGCCTCTGAATCTCGTGGGTGCCTTAACCTTCTATCTCCTCAGTCGCATGTCACCTCATGTGCTGAGCCATTTTTGATGACATATACATTCTTTGCAGCCGTGGTTTCAAAGGAAAGTATCTAACAAAATAATGTATTAAAAATTTTAAATACCGAATATTTAAAGACTAAACAAGTAACACATCATAATCAATTGTATTTAGAATTTCAAATATCGAATATTTAGAGACAGAACAAGTAGCATATTGTAATAAATTGTACCAGAGAATTTTGGCTGGTTTCTTCTTTTGCTTTTTCTCCTTCCATACCGACTTATAGCGTGACGTCTTACATCTCGTACAAATCTCCTTGTTTGCATCATCTCCCCAGTATAACATACCCAGTATAACATACAGTTAGGGTGTTCAAGGCCGGCCCGTCCCGGTCGGCCCGTTCCGGTTCCGGTCCCGGTCTTATTGGGACGGGACGGATCCGTCCCGAAATTTTTCGGGACGGGACAAACCGGGACGGGACAAAAAAGGGACCGGGACGGGACCAAAAGCACCACGCACAGCATCGTTCACGGCATCGGCTTCATCCACTCGAACTCCCTTCTGTGAAACTACTGGAACTGACTCAGCAATCATATCTGGCCGTTCCCCATGTACTTGCCAAAATACGTACTCTCGCGGGAAGGGCTTAAAGATCAAATGTTCTCTAACAATATCTCTGGGATGCCGCTTCTTGAAATTACATTTAGGACATGGACACTGAATCTTACCATTTAAGGCAGCATTGGCAAAAGCAAAATCTAAAAAATAGCTTAGACCAGCTAGGTATTGTGGAGACGACCGGTGTAAGTTGATCCACGACCGATCCATCACTAATATTGCTCAAATTTCATGAACATATGACACAGGAAGCTCAAAGATAAGTTAAAATGAATTTCAATTGGAGTGTTTTAGCTTATAAAGGAGGCTGCCAACGGTTATGTAACGGTCAATTTTTTGTAGCGGTTATTAACCGCTAGAAATTTCTAGCGGTTTCAATGAATAGAAATTTTTGTAGCACTTTATAACCGCTAGAAAATTCACACCATGATGAAATTTGAATGTGACAACGGTTATACAATTTCTAGCAGTTTAGAACCGCTACAAATTTTCTTGATTTTCTAGTAGTTATAAACCGCTAGAAACTCGAGGAAGGAAATTTGAATTTGGCTTGAATTTTCTAGCGGTTCCTAAACCCTAGAAATAATATAATATTTTTAAACATTAAATATTCCAAAAGTATTTTAAATACTCCGCAATAAATTATTAACATTTTTAGTATAATGTATTAATTTATACTTGATATAAACAAAATTATTAACAAATTATAAATATTTATTAAATTAATAAATTCTATGATTTGTTAAATGTTAAAATACATATTTCAAGAATAAATTTTAATGTTAAAAGAATATATGTTTAACATGTTTTATATAGTAACTAATAAATTATATAAATATTTTAATTATACAAATAAATACTTAATAAATTTAATTAATAAATTAATTAACAATTATAGAAATATTTAAATTATAGAAATAAATTGTAGAAATATTTTAATTAATTAACATGTTTAACATGTTTAATAAATTTTAAAGTTTATATAGTAATAAATTAATAAATATTTTAATGTTAATTAATACTTGACATAAATAAAATTATAGAAATAAATAATTAAAGTAAACAAATAAACATAAAATTTAAATAAATATCTAAATAGAATATAAAATCATAAAATCAAAATTCAAATATAATCCTATACAATGAAAACAGGGAAAATCAAGGGTGAGGGGCAGAAGCAGCATCATCGTGATTGTCATCCGCTGGATCCTCCTGCTGGGGGTAGGCAGGCTACTGAATGTGCTGGGCCTGGACTGGCTGATGGGGGACAGGGGCAGGACTGTGGCAAGCGTATGTCGGGGATATCAGGAATTGGGATGTTTGGAGCTATACTGATCATCACATCACGCATAGCCGTAGCAACTGCCTTGAACTGGTCAAGCTACAACTGGAACTGAGCATCATGCTCCTGCAACTGACGATCACGCTCCCCGATCCTGGCCTCCACCCTAGCCTCAATGTTGGCCTCCAACTCTTGTCTGAGCTCTTCTCGCAACTCCTCTGAGGATAAAGAACCCAGGTGCTTTGCTCCCACGCTCGACCGAGAGCTCCCCACAGTATATGAAGGGCCAGCGCCACCTGAGCGGGGCAACCTAGTCGGTGTAGGTCCAAGCCCGTGCAACCAGGGTGCTACGCCCCGACCACGACCCGCTAAAAGTGAGGCTATGGGATCCAAGGCAGACCCCTGAGACTCACACAGCTCGGTATCGACCTGAGTCATCCGTGCCTATCAAAATTAATATAAAGAGGCTAATTAATATGAAATGATATTTATACTGTGATATTATATTAATATTTAGTTCATATCAAAAGTAATATAAAGAGGCTAATTAGTATGAAATGATATTTATACTATGATATTATATTAATATTTAGTTCATTACTTACCGCTATCTCCTCAATCTCATCCGACGCATGCCCGTCTCGAGGTATATACAAAATCAGCCACATCTCGCCATAAGTGGGCGTGTATCCCCGCTCCTGCTGCGTCTTTTTCCTCTGTAAATGAAATAAAAGAAATAATTAGTTACAAATTAAATACATATACATATTTAACAAAGTTATTTCAAGTACTCACAATCTCATCATAGGTGATCGCAAAGCTCCTAGATCCAGCCTTATGACGTATCGTCTGATGCCTGACGCTCCCAGCATTTCTTGCAGAAAGAGCCTAAAGCAAAATGTAAAAAAATTAAATTAAATTAGTCAAATTGGACAAAAAATAAATAAATTATAATTAATACAATATTATCATACTATCTGGTTAGCCGACATCCTAAAATAGACGTAACTGGACCAGTCTTGCTCCAGGACTCCACCAGGTACATCTGCCAGTATCTCTTGCAGGGACCTCATCCTGTTACCATTCTTCTCCCTCCACGGGTCGGCCCTCTTGCTCTTCCATGCCACCCCAAGCCTCTTGATCGTGTCGGCCTTCAACTCCTCCCCCAGTATAAATTTACTCTGTGATTAAAACAATAAATTAAGTAAATAACAAATTATAAACAAACAATTAAGCAATTTCAATAAAAATATATATTTATTTAACTAATTTAAAAATATTATAAATAAAATATAAATTATATCAATAACAAATCATAATTAAACAATTAAGTAATTTAAATGAAAATATATTTTTACTCAACTAATTTAAAATTATTATAAGTAATAAATTAATGAAATCAATAACAAATTATTTTTAAATAATAAAGTAATTTAAATAAAAAATATATATTCATTTAACTACTTTAAAAATATTATAAATAAAAAATAAGTTAAATAAATAAAAAATTACAATCAAACAATTAAATAATTTGAAAACAAAATATATAATCATTTATTTAAATTTAAAAATTATAAATAATAATTTTATATTACCTTCATCATTTCCCAACCTTACTGCTTCTTCTCTGAGGTGATCTTCTTCCAGTCCTGCACGTAGATGGGGAACAGCGTTCATTGCTGATAAGGAGGCACATATACTTGTACAATAGGCCACCTTTCTTCGTCGGTTGGCCCAACTCATTGAGCGGCACAACCACCTGTTCGCTTGTCATCATAGACAGCTCTCTAGCTGTCAGCCTCCTATAAGGCCTGTTCCCCTCAAAATCTGTAAAATTTAATTAAGAAATAAATTAGATATCAATAAAAATTAAAACAATTTCTATATAAATTAAATAGTTGTCAAATTTAAAAAAATTAAATAAATACTTACCCTCAAATTCCACCTCAAAATCGGCCTGACGTCTGAGAGCAGGACGCTACTCAACTTGGGGATTCTCATTCCCCTGAACCTACTCCTCCTCCTCCTCCTCCTCCTCAACAGTATCAGCATCAGCATGGGGTTGTTCATCTTTAGTAAAATGAGCCTCCTCAATCTACTCGATATCGTCCTGCTCCTTAAAGCTGAGGAGATCCTCCTCATTGAGATCGTAGTCATGAATGATGGGGAATGGCTCACTAGTATCATGGCCACCATCACAATGATCCTCACCGAGTCCTACCCTCTCAGGATCAACTGGCGTCTTCCCTGGCCGATGACTCATCCTAATAACAACAAATAGTAATTATTTATAAATAAAATAAAAAGAAATTATTTATAAACAAAAATATAAAAAATTAAATAAAAAATAAGAATAGAAATTATTTATAAATAAATTACTATTTCTACCTGAAAATAGGGATCTGCAACTGAATCTGAACTTTGATATGTTTCATGGAGAAAATTTAACAGAGCTTCGCTTCACAAATGAATGAAACAGTGAAAATGACCGTGGGGGGTATATCGGCAGCGAATTTCTAGTGATTTTACCCAAACCGCTAGAAATTTCTAGCGGTTGTTGCTAAAACTGCTAGAAATGTCTAACGGTTGGCTGCCACATTTAGGGCACCTTGGGAAATATACAAATTTTTAGCAGTTTCTAAGTTAACTGCTAGAAATTGGCGACAACCGCTAGAAACTGCTAACAATTATTAAAACCACATTAGGAAAATTAAATATTTTCTAGCGGTTTTCGACAAAACCGCTAGAAAAGTGTATGATTTACTAGTGGTTGGACAACTCTTTACATTCTCTAGTGGTTTAGGTGACCAAACCGCTAGAATTTTGACCAAGTTCGCGCCAAAACCCGAGAAGAGTTACAGCTATAATTTTCTAGCGGTTGGCAAATAACCGCTAGAAAATTGCGGGCCCCATAGTTTTTATGGTCAAATCGATGCTAATTTCTAGTGGTTTGTCGTAAAACCGCTAGAGATACGTACATTTGTAGCGGTTTGTTTGAACCGCTAGAAATATTCTGCTGCTAACTTGCTATTTTCTTATACTGTTATAAGGACCAAAAGTAACATTTTTTTAAAAAATCATTTCATTCATATGTTTTTTTTATATATACTAGAAACAATTCATTCATATGGTTATCACTACTGAACTTTTTCAAAAATTTCATATGTATTTTTGCACAAACATTTTATTGACATGTTACCTTAGTGGGCTTAATGGCTATGGCAACATTTTCGTATCATTTTGAAAACTCCATGTGTACTTTTCATCCCTAAAAAAAATGTATAGTGTCGAGTGCCCATGACAAAAAATCTTCATGGGTTTGCACCGTAATTCTATTGTT